GGGTTAAAGCAACATTCCTATGGTATCTACTTCCGCATACCATTGAAGCTGTACTTGAAGTTCATCAGAAAAAGCAGTTTGAAAGAGAGCGCACATGCTCACAAAATTCAAGATAACTAGATTTTTCAAGTCAACGAAGTGTTGAAAATGATAAACGTTGCAACCATCTGTTGCACGCATCGAAAATGCAAACCCGACATCTTTTTTTTGAAGCTAGTCATGGGAAATATAAAGTCCACATTCTTCAAAGTTCTGTTCTCACTAGATTGAGCAAAAAAGATGAAAGATCTTCGAAGCACTTGCCTTCCATAAATGAAAATTAAAAGTTATCACGCACAAATTTGGCTTAGAAATGACGAAAATGAGATTTTATCGACCAAGAAACATCAAAACGATGTTAGAGAACAAAAACATGTGAAAACTGGGCCAACTTTAGCTGTCTTGCCAGCTACGGCCAATGATTGCGCTGGCGCGCCCCACGGCTAACGTATCCCTCAACGTTTGCCGCGTACCGGATCTCCTAATGGTCGATGTATTTTTTAGCTATATTTGACTGAAACCTGGTGACTCGAGAAAACGAAGGAAGAACTCGCAAACAAGCTGATAATAAAGCCATTTACTGAGATGTACAAGCAACTTACATACACCATAAGGTTGCCGCCACCTAGTTAGCGGAGTTCATGAGAGGTCATGAACTGGCAGCAACGCTAATTTGCACTCAATTTGCACCGAAGATGAGCTGATCCTGCTCACGGTAACTCCGTCATCATCCTGCAGCCTATGAAACCGGAATTTCTTTAAAATCTGAACTCAAATTCAGTAGTAAAATCAGTCCAATTAGGCCAAAAACTTGTATTTAAGGGTATTCCTATTACGCTGATTCCGAATAGTTAATCGTTTCGCTTGAAACCTAGGATTTTTTCTTTTTTTAAATTGAAACTTGTTTTCACAATTTCAAAAATTCTATGTAAGGTTTTCTGACATGCTGTTTGAAAAAGCTGATGGTTTTGCTTGAAACCTAAAAATTTTTTTTTGAATCTCAAACTCTTTTTCGGAAATTTCGCTGCAATGATAAACCTGAAAAACAAACGGAAGAAATCCGCTCTGTTTAAGAAAATAAAATGAATCCGAATTCGAATAAACTATTTTGCTCCAATAACACCTTAGATCGAAAAACGAGAATCGTATCGATGTCAAAAATTTCTCAAATCCGAAATGGACTTCAACATCGAATAAAAAATGCTTATTAAAACCACCTTGAACCAATCCAAGTGTCACGGTCCATGCTGGTTTAGACACCAACTGTTCTAGACAGCAACAGACAACAACAACAACAACACCAATAATCAGCTTTTTCGGAAAAAGCATGTCAGAAAACCCTTACATGGAATTTTTGAAACTTTTATTTGTGAAAACAAGTTTCAATTCAAAAAAGAAAAAAATCCTGGGTTTCAAGCAAAACGATTAAAATATTCGGAATCAGCGTAATAGAATACCCCTAAATACGAGTTTTTGGCCTAAATGGACTAATTTTACTACTGAACTTTTGAATTCAAATTTTAAAGAAATTCCGGTTTCGTAGGCTGCAGGATGATGACGGAGTTACCGTGAGCAGAATCAGCTCATCCTCGGTGCAAATTGAGTGCAAATTAGCGTTGCCCAGTTCATGACCTCTCATGAACTCTGCTAACTAAGCGGCGGCAACCTTATGGTGTATGTAAGTTCCGTTCCCCCTTTTCGCGTGGGTGTAACCGGGGCCCGGCATAGATCGTCTGGAAGCAGGGTGGACTTCGTTTTTGGAGCAAAAAGCAAAGGAGATATCGTTTATGACGAGTAGGGGCCCAGCACCAAGAATAAGCGCCAAGCGCGTCGAATACAAGCTTATCGGACAGGTTATCACACGATTGACATGCTCTATCTTATACGGCGAAAAGTGCACGCGAATTGAAGGCAAGGCTAGAATCAACAAATAGCTTGTTTACAGCGCACACAGAATCATATAACACCAAAAGAACTATATACTAAGAAAATTATTTGCAAAAGTATTGTGTAAAAAGGTTTGAAAACGTCTCCAGAAGCACCAGACGATCTGAGATCGTCTGGAGCATGTATTTCTATCACTTCACATAAGTTTTGGATCTATCATGGACGGATTCTCCGATCAAAAATTTATCCCTGAGCATGAAGACATTTTCATATCATTGTCTTCCCTTTGTTTTTTTGCCTTCATTTCTTCATATATCGCTTTGTAAAATATCGCACTCCAATGCCAAACTCTTGAGCATGCGTAGTATCCAGCTCCAATTTGGATTTTCACTCTTATCTTACGTTTTTTCATTCAGACTAATAAGTCTTTCTTGTTTTCATCTTCTCCCAAATGAATAGGTCAAAGGGAACTTCGTAAAACTTCCAAAAGTCAGGGAAGACTTCGTTTTCGGAAACCCTAGAAAGCGACTCGTGCCGGGCCCTGGGTGTAACGCAGTGGGCATCACACAGAGGAGACACTGCGGCGGGCACTCTTCGATAGTACTCTTTCACTAGACTGGCGGCCCAATTGCTATCAGGAGTGAGAAATCTCGTATTGGGTCCAAAATTGGTTAACATTTAATTTAATGCTATAAAGCTGCTATACTTCGTCTAGTGATGTTTTTATAACAAAACAGTGGGTTACCTAGGGAGGGGGGAAGGAGGAGAGCGGGGGGGGGGGCATTTTTATGACTTATGTAAGTACCCCCCCCCCCCCGAGAATAGGTCGCGAAATTTTTGAAAGTTACTTACATGAGTCATAAGAATGTGCGAAAGACTTTTTTATACTTGTAAGAAATTAAAATGATTTTTAAAATTTTTCAAAAATTCAATTTAGCTTTGTAAAAAATTTTTTTGGGGGCGTGGCGTCAGCCAAGCCCCCTTTTTCTAAAATTTTGGGGGGCGTTAGCCACGCACCTTCATTAGAAAAGAATTTTTGTCGCTCCCCCCCCCCCCCCCCTCCCCCGAGCCGAAATCCTGGGTACGCCACTGTTACAAAGATATGCTGAAAGGCATGGTGCACATAAAGTAAATGACGAGAGTAGGACTACTTGCAGAAGAACGCTTGAATCAACAAAGAATTGTCGCTGGAAGCTGAGAATGTGCTTTTAGTGAAGCCCATCGAAAACAGACATGCACCGACTACACCGCGAACTATTTCTCTAGACTTGCCCTGCGCATTGAATAACCGAAATAGTGCTCCTCTTTCTCGTGAAGCATCTTTCTCGTGGCTTTTTTCCATGGCTTTTCCTAACCAGTGTCCTGCATGTTCTTTCCGGTGTAAATTTTCATAAACGTTTTCCGTCAAAGCATTTGAAGAGCCTAGTTTCTCCTCGCTTAAGCTTCAAATATCAGTTGGCCTTTCCAATTTTCTTGGCAAAAATGGCGTAAGTTCCTCCCCCCCCCCCTTCCCCCCCCCAACTCCACAGTCGCATCATCTAATCTCTCTTCCTTACTCGAAAAACTAACCCATCTCCAAAATCTCATGTTTTCAAAAGCTTACTGGCCAAAGACACAGTATCCTCCTCCACCTTCAAAGTATCTCCGATTAGGATGCTCACAGAGTAGCCCCTCAACTTATACGTGCAAAAGCCCTAAAGCCGGGGTGAAACGAAGAAGGCGGCTGCCCATGAAAAAAGCCGTGCGCAAGCGTACGAACAATCATGAAAAGTGCTCAAACTCCCTTCGCACCTGCTTCGCAAAGCGACCGCCATCGTCAGCGCAGCCTTTACATTCCATCATCACTCACCTTTGTCAGAAAAGATTATTTGTCCTTTTCCCCCCCCCCCCCCCCGCCCCGCTCGGGACGAAAATTCTGGGTACGCCATTGCGGTTTACAATGAATATAGGGGGGACGGTAGATTGGCGCGTATTGATCGGTTGTCACTAGTTAAGAAGAACAGAAAAAATCAAATCTAATTGACGACTTTCAGAATTTCAACTAGTGAATCTTCGCCACCATTTCTATGTGATGGAAGAAGCCTTCGGAGACCTCCCTTTGTAAAGTACAAATCCCTACTGGCAATGACGACTGCCGAAATGCGCGCCTTTCGACATAACCCTGAATATAGTCTATATCTCATGGAGCGCGTCACGTTCTGCGGTGTCTCGGTGGTTCGTTGGCTTTATAGTAGTCGCGAAATACCTGTTGGAGTATGTTATGTAGAACAGAGCTTTATTTAGACAGGCGACCTGCACACGTTGGTGCTGTGGTAGAATGCTAACGATAACAGGCGGAGCATTGTAACTCCATGGTATCACAGCAGATCATGCTTATGGCATGAGCTTTACGGCACTTTAGTGAGGGTAAAGTTACGATTGCAAGAAAGTGCCGACAATGTCGGCACACTCCGGCTAGCGAGGGAAAAGAGAACAGCGAAACGGAGCACAAATATAACATCTAGATTCGATGTGCTTTCTTTCAGGATATCGCAATGGACGTTGTCGAGGTAGCAGAAAGGTAGAGGTAGGGCGCGATGACGGGTGCGTTTTAGCGGAAAACTTGGTGTTGGAACAGGCTGGTGACACGTAATTCTACATTCATGTCTTTAATTGGAAGTAAAACACAAAAGGAATCCAGCTTCGTTCCTTCTATATCGCTGCTACTGATATACGTATCCTGTGAATGCCAGTCTTTATCGAAAATCCAAGTCATTGACTGAGACACATACGTCTTGACCTGTCTCAGTACTGGGCCAGCTGTACTTAATGAGTTGTTATTATCGTGCGTTATTGTATCATTGCTACTTCCTTTGTGCGAAACGTCCAGCTTTGGAGTTCTCGTCATTGATTTTGCAGAATGCTTTAAGACTGAAGATTTACTGTCGTTGTTGTCCTCATCCTTTAGATTGAATAGGGTTTCTCCGTTTGAATTTTTCATGCAATTCATGAGTTTTGCGGTGGGAAGTCTTCTTCCGCTCCCTACTAACTCTAGCACATCATCTTCTATACGAATTTGTAAGAGATATAGAAACCTCTTTGCGTCAAAAATGTTTCAAAAAATCTTATCTCTTCTTCCAACGCATCCCATTCCTCCACCATTGGCTTCTTCGCAGCCTCGGATTCAGCCTCCTCGCATCTTTCCATTAATATGTCATAATCCATTTGTAGCGATTCGATGACATCTTCAACTTCCATTTTGCACCAAGTGAATCCAGATGGTCGTGGCATAAATCGTGGCGCATTTGACCATCATCTGGAAGGATAATTTTCTCATTGTGGCACGCGTACATAAAGGTTGGTGCAAAAAGTGCTAACCAATACGTTGCTATTTTTCTGTTATAGAATGTTTATCGTGCGCTAAACAGCAGCCGAAAACTCTCTTTTGAAAGAGACAGAAGAGCTGAAAAACTCTGGAAAAATGAAGCTGTTCCAAGTTCTACTGACCGTAACTTCCTTCAGAATGAACATCTTCAAAATCTGAAAGCAGCATTGTGTTCATTTCGTTAAGGCAAATTTTGTCGTATACAGCAAGCCCTTGAAATTCCGTTTCCAATTTTTTCAAAATTTTCTGCGCGCGTATATTCACAAGGTCGCAACGCAGCGCACATCAAACATATATTGGATTGTGCTGCTTCCACAGATTACCGAGCGTTAAAAAAACCAGAGAATCTTTTTCAAAAAAGATAGAAGAGCTGGTGAATTCTGGAAAAATCGTGTTGTCTCAAATTTTGCCCACTATAACCCTAAAATGGGAAGCTCTCCTGCTAAGCAAATCTGATTTCCGTAATTAGCAGGTCAGATAACCTCTACGAGCAAGCTTTTAAAGAACTTCGCGTGATTTGGTTTTTTTTCGTTCTACGCCCTGAAGCTCGCCGATGGGTTTTGGTCAAAATGTCGATAATCTTGGATTATGAGGAAACTTCGCTCAAAGAGGTTTTCGAACACGCTGTTTTCGATAATCGTCGGAGTACAGAGTTTTCTAGCAGAGATGTGGTGAGGGAACTTTAGCTAAGCCACGAAAGTTCTTAGATTCGCCTGCATTTTTCGAGCACCTTTTAGAAAATCTGCTTACTTACCTCTACAGGTTAAATTCACTAGAAAGCGTGCTATTTAAGGTGTATGCATCTGGCTTCAATCTATAGCAGTCGCCGAATTACGGGCCTACAAAATCACGTCCTCATGAGTTTTGCCCAAATGTAAAGATTGCCTGCTTCGTAGAAATTCCACCTAAGTGACTGTAAGATACTGTGGTCACCAATTTTGTGTTCAACTCGAAAGATCCTGGGGATCTTATTGTATTGGATCTGGTGGTTGTGTGTGCCTGAGCCCTAAGGTGAATATCGAAGCAGATTCGTGACTGGAGCTCAGATCTATTCAATTACTTCCAGTACAGCAGGATAGATTCCTTGAGCGAAGTGAACACAAACAGGCCAGGTGACCACAGTGTCTTACAGTTACTTAGGTGGAACTTCTACGAAGTAGATAAATAGAAATTTAGAGAATTAACCGAATTTTCGACTAATTTTTCTAAATTTTACCTATTTTCAGAAAAAGAGCAAGTGACAGGTAGACAGAACAAACCCTACAGGACACAGAGTGATTTTTCTTTTCCTCAGCTTGCTTCTTTGAGTTTCTAGAGTCAATTTTTCACTGCCGTCAAATTCCATATTTGGTGAACTCAAACCTCACAAAACAAGAACTGGCAATCAACTCGGGTGTCATTCGACGCAGCTTTTTCTCCTCTTTCTACTAGTGCTTAGTTGTTTTCGATTCATCAAGTTTTCATCCTAATCCTTGGTGCAAGTACATTATGTCACAGCTTCCATGAATTGTTTGAAATTATAAAAGTAGTTTATCATTTTTACACACATCCACAAGTTGAATAGCGGATATTGCATGAATATTTGTATGTAGAACTTTTGTGGCTTGAACAGTGACGCTATTTTTTTGAAAGCAGCTAAATCACATTAAAGATAAGTGCCGAAAGTCTAGAGGTTCTACGCTTGAATGAATGATTGCTCACGTATTATGCAGCCAGAACAGAGCCAGTTTAACAAAGTAATGTCCAAAGATTCTGGAAAACATTGAGGCTATGAAAACATCAAACATCAAACGCGTAGCTGTTGGGAAAGCCTGCATATCTAACATATTGGCCTGTAGTAAACCTTGATCAAGGGAGAAGATTTTCCCTGAGGCCCTTGTGTGATGTTCCGTCAGGTGAAATGAAGACCGCCCACTTCCCCATTATATAAGAATGCAACGTTACCTGACATGTGAGTCTCCGGTTAGGTTCGGCAGGGAGATCATTTCCCTGCCGAGTCATCGGAGATGAGCGGAGCAATGATCTCCCGAAATGGTGTGCTAAAGGAGATTTAGAGAAAATATCAGTAACTTACACCTGAGTAACTTACAATACACCTGTTTTCGCCTAATAATGCATTCAGATTTATAGAAATGCACACATTCTCGCTGCTGTAAATTTGCTCAAAGGAACTTCGATATTTTCAAATGATTCTTTGTGTTGCATTGGTATTTTACATCTCTGTGGACAGTAGTAAGGACAGTACGATCCAAAAAGGCTCACTTGCTCGCTGGACCTTTCTCCGGCTCGTCTATAAACATCTTGATAGTTTCTTGGGAGTAATAGTCGAACTCAATTATTATGCTTCAAAATGTTTACAGTTACCGATAGAACATATAGGCTTCTGCGTGACGAAGGTACCTTCGGGCGCGAATGCGGCTTTATTAGCCGCGGAGGCGCATAAGACCCAGGATCTACAACAGTGAAGATACGCGCGCGTGGCGTTCGCGCCCCCTCAAGTAATACTGCTTCTGCGCCTTCGTCCTGCAGCAGCCTTTACATTGTTATCCGAAAACACAGCTCTGTGTTCAATGGAAATTTTTTTGCTAATGGGATCTTTCTGCCATTACTGAGCTCACAGTTTTCGCTACTCAATTTTGAGCGTCGTGAAATTGTTAGCCTATCAATCACATATTTTTGATAAATCTCATCAAACTTCCGTTTAGTCCATTCTCTTTCTTTTTCTTCTGCATACTTGAGCATTTTCTTGGTTCCATCATGATGTGTTCGCAGATGACAGGCTAGGTAATCTAAGCGTTCATTAGAACTGTAATTTCTTTTTTACCGAGGTTTATTAGTGCTGTGTTGTACAAAAACGAACTTTCTAAACATTCTTAGAAGTTGCTGCGATCTTAACTTTCTTAGAATTGTGTTTTCAATGCAGCTTGGTTTTTTTTTTTCAGAATGGTCATGACCATCTTTAAGGATCTTAGCAGTTTGGAGGTTGATCAATAATCTGCATGTTGATTTTCCATACGCTCACTGCCAAATTCCATTCTCAGAATTATTTTATAGGATGAGGACCATGAAAATGATGTTATCGGTAGCGTAATCCAAAGACGCAGAAGAAAAAAACGCTTTTAACATTCTATCACTATTCCAAACTTTGGTGGGATCAAGCGGGTTAAGAGTTGTATCAACTACATGCTACTCGAATCATTACCCGATTCACAGATTGCAACTTATCATTACGGGAATTGTTGATTTCGCTCCGAGCTGGTGTTTTTAGTAGAAGGTATCCAACTTTTGTGTATTAAACTTTGGAGTACCAATTCATCTGTTCAAGTTTCGCCATTTCATTGATTTCGTTATCCGATTTATCGTCTCTTGATCTATTGCGTTTACTAGCTTACTGTAATCGGTAAGGTTTATTACCAGCAGCTCAGGGTCAAGCAAGGGGTGTGGCACACGATCGCTGGTTACGACCCCCCCCCCCTCCCGGATTGCTGTCTCAATAAGACCCCCCCCCTGAACTATATACCTAAGATAGCATTACTAGAGTTGAGAAAGAGGTCAGGCACAAGTCTTTCGAACCCCCCCCCTCCCATGAAAGCCCTCAAACGACCCCTTCTTCCTCCTCTTAACCCCTGGACCTCAAAGTGTGACATTCTGAAAGACACCATCTTTTTCTAGAGAGTTTTCTTTCAGAGAGCTGTACGCCCGATTTTCTGTGACTGCACTTTACAATCACACGCAATTTGACGGCTGATTTTGATCTGAATGGGCATATTGAAAGGGCCATAATTTTCTTAAGGGTGGGGCGTTCGGCTCCAAATTTCCAATGTAGCAAGAAGAAGCTATGTGCTCAATACTCATACCAGCAATGGAGCGCTTTCTGGATTTTGAAGGCAAGTTAATGGGGTGCGGCACACCCCCTTAAAAGCTGCGGCAGCCGCAGCTTTTAAGGGGGTGTGCCACACCCCATTAACTATATCAAAAAATCATTTTTAGCGGACAGTATTTATATGAATCGATAACCTAAACCTTGTAGATTCCATAGGACTGTTTGGAGCCTGATTTGTCTTCTTAGCTCTAAGTAATATTTGATGAAAGCACAGCGATCAAATGCGAAAAATGGGAAAAACGAGATTTCGGTTAGCTTCTAATTCCACAGTTTGCAGGTCTTCTGAAGCGGGATTTCTGAGGTGGACAAAGATGGAGTAATGCTTTGTGTTGAGTGCAAAAACGGATAGCTAATTCACCTTTGAAACAAAGTTAACCATGTTGGAATTTGACCATTTCATTTAGGTAGCCTAGTATATTCAATCTTCACAATTCGCTCACACTTTGTCTACAGGGGTTATTTGACATGCTGATTATGGATAGGATACGAATATCATGTTATTACTATTATCAGATTACCCAACTACGACCCCCCTCCCCTTTTTACTCCTCAATACGACCCCCCAGGTGTGGCGTGCCGCACCCCACGCTTGACCCTGCCAACAGCTTGCTTTCTGTTTTTCATTATCTGTGAATGTGATCATTTCAAGAATAAGTAATTTCCGTCAGGAATCCATCGTTGTTAATCTCAGCTGTTACAGACGAAGCTATGAGAACTCACTCATAATCATGTAGTAGAAAATATGTGATAACAGTGCCCACAACCGCTTTTTTCAGAGATTCTTTGCATTCTGGGAGAAATGCGCGATGGCAGACTATCTTTTGATACCCTTCTAATATGGCTCATAAAATCGAGGCTCTATATACTTAATTCTTGATCGCACGGATCAAACATCACTGCGGAGCACGCGCCGCGAGGTAAAATGCTTGCCTCAGTACAAATGTTACAAATGCCCCATTGTACAAATCGTGTCGCAACGTTTCAGTCGCC